GGGCAGGGGAGGAACGGGAGACAAGGGACCAAGGTCAGCACAGTGCAGCGAATGATGCCAGGCTTCCTTCCACTAAAAGGTACTTTAAATTATCTCAGTGTACTGCCCGATAATTAACAAACGTCTGACTACCTATGATTATTCACCACATGCGTAAAACACTCAAGGGAGATCTACACACTTTTCACACGTCAAAAGTGTATTTGAACTGAGTAGAAACACTTCAAGTTTTTCATTTTTCTCTCCTCACCAAATGCCACTGACAGGGAGGTACAATAGCTTAGCTCAAGGAAGGAGAGGTATAACAATAATCTTCATTTTTCATTTTTACAGAATTCCCCTCACCAACAGCCTTTGAAAAAGATACCATGAGCTTCAAATCCAAACTTAGCCTTTGGCAGAAAGGGTCAACTTTTAAAATGGCCCCAAAATAAAGACCCTCTCATCAATACGCCAAGTGCTCTTTAAGCTCTGGATGCCAGGAGAGACCAGGTGTGCAGGTGTCTCACAGGCGTGCTGCCCTAAGCGAGTATTGCTGTTGCACAGATAGGCCCAAGTTTCTTCTTGAGGTTTCTGAATAACCGAAAAGGGGCAATGATCCTGCATCTGCTATGCTGCTAAGTTGTCACCTAGCTGAGAACTCCTTGTTAAGATGCTCAAAGTGAACCTTATACAGTTGGAATATTAGTGACCTTACCAGATGGAAGAACAAAAACATCATTTTGAAAAAATGAATAAAGCCATTTGTTATTTGGTTTTATATTTTTTTATTTGTTCAACTGTGCAAAATATGGCTACTTGATAATTGTGGCAAATATTGCCTCATGTACATTTCAGCATGTGAGCATGTTTCTCTGGAAATCAGTATTTAAATTTTTTCTTTGAAAGTGACACACAGGAAAGTCAGCTCTTGCTCACAGGGTAACTTAGTTCAGCTTATGGTTAACAATGTTTAAAGACAGCTAACTTAAAATGCAAACATTTAAATTCTAAAGTTTAACTGTTGAAAGACCGAATCAGTTCTATGGAAATATAAACAACATGGAAACAGTCATTTCTCCACCTGCCATTCCTTGTGAGTATATTTCAGGCCACCATTTTGTTAAATGTAAAGCTAAGAACTCAAACAACTTTAAGGTTGTAAAACAGTTAAAAACTGAAAAGCCTTGGATGAACTGTGAAAACGTTATGCTAAGTGAAAAAAGTGAGTCCCAAAAGACCACATAATGCATGATTCAATTTATGTAAAACATGCAGAATAGGTAAATCTATACAGAATGAGCGTAGATTAGTTGTTGCCAGGGGCTGGGATGGGGGAGCAGCTGCTAATGGGTACGGCCTCTTCCTGGGGTGATAAAATGTTTTAAAACTACATTGTGATGATGGATGCTAACTCTGTAAACGTACTATAAACACTCAACAGTACACTTTACATGGGCGAATGGTATTGTGTGTGAACTATATTTCAATAAAGCTGTTACTAAAAAAAGTGGCATGCCTGATAACATTCACAATGGCATTGGCATGAAAGGTACAAGAAAATCAAGTTAATCCAACCTAGCATCCATTTAATGCTGTATTACATGCCCAAGCCCCGGTCTCCCTGTTGGAGAGCACATTACAGAGCAACCAGTACCTGCCCTTCCTGCATTGCCATCGTCTTCCTGACGGCTGGCTCCCTCCCCACCATGTGAACCCTCTGAGGACTGACAGAATGGTGCCCTCCCTCCAAGTGCTCTGAGCCAGTACCGGCACACATCACCAACTAAAAGCTGAAGCAGGAGCTCATGTATGCATGTAGTAGTATGCACATCCATATAAATGAATGAATGACTGACTGAATGAATGCAATTTTTGGATTGAGGCAATTCAACCAATCAAGTTGATTTGTACTATCCCCTTAAATCTGTTCTCCAATTCTCCCACACTTGTGGCCACCCAGATAGAGACATTTTCCCACCAGCCACTGCAGCTTCTAGTGACCACATGACCATACTCTTTCTAATTAAATGTCAATGGATATAGTGTGTGCAATTTTTAATTCATTTGCTTAAAAAAAATTCCTGGCTTGGACTTCACTGTGCTTAACCACGCAGACAAGCCCGAAGAGGACAGCACAAGAGGAAGAGGCCTCAGTCAGCCAGGCCGGCCAGCTGTTCCCGGAGAGGGAGCCTGTGTGTTAGTGGGTCATGGTGTCTAGGGCTCTGTCTACATCAGCCGCCTCTTGGCCCTGACTGGTACAGCCACGTCGGCGTGTGTGGCTGTGGAGGTCGGAGAAGCAGGAGGGCTTCCGTGCTTAAGGAACAGCCTGCTAATAATTTCCGCCAATGGCAGCCCAGTGGAGACCTCTCTCCCAGTGTCTTCAGAACAGCTCTGTGAATTAATAGTTACACAACGCAAATGTTGAATGTTGCAAAGAGGTCATTTTGAATGGATTTAACTAGAAATATTTTCATTATGTAAATATTAAATCCACACATATACACTTTCCAAAGAACCAATGAATATATTTTAAATGGCTAAATAGCCAATTTTAGCTTTTTTGTAACCAAGAAATAATTTGCAATATGTAAGACACAGTGAGTAGAATCTATAAAGATGCATTAAAACTTCTTGATCTAACAACAACAAAAAAGTAGCTCAAGTTGGGGGTGGAAGAAAAACTGCAAGAATTACACATTCCTTCACGATGGTTCACTTTCTCAAAGCAGTTGACTAGTACAAAAATGAACCAACAGATAAAATGTGAAGTTTGAAGATATGTTTTAAAATAACCATTTAATTGTAATATATATGATCTTGACTGTTATCATTGACTCCCAATGCTTTTCAGAAGTGAACACAGCTGGTGAATGTGAAGCGAAAATGCCTGTGGGTGAATTGCCGGTGGGAGTGGGAAACGGAGGCGCTGAGCCACACAGCAGCATTAACTCACCAGACCAGGCCCCACAGCAGGCCGTGATCCTGGCCAGCGCCAGCAGCCCCTTTCCTCCTGCGGGCGTCCTGGGTGACCTGGGGGAGTTACCATTCACCTGGGGGCCGCTGTCCCAGGGTGTAATGTGGGGATTATAATAATTGCCAGGAATGCTGGCAACCAGACCCATTTTATAAAATGTTCAGATCTACTGGAAAGAAATTGTTAGTATCACTACCAAGTACTATGACTGTTATTTATGATTCTTCAGACGTTTGAAAAATGGCTGTGTCTGGTTTTCCGAGTTTGCCTGGCCACTTTCATGCACACAGTTGTTCCCATCATGTGAAGGGAGGCACATTTATCTGCATCTCTGCTGACAGTTAATGATCGCCAGATTTCAAAACCGGCCATGGCATTTACTAAGAGACTCCTGGCATCTGAGGTGGGCATCCTGCTTGCAGTGTGGAGGGCAGGGCTGGTTTCTTGCCAGCACTGGCAGCACGCTTTATGTTTGCTTAAGGTCTACTCACTGGGAGAAACAATAATCATTCTATCCACTTCATGTATGTTTTCTAGATTTCATATTTATAGCAAGGCTTTTTTTTGCCTTACAGATCAAGATATATTGATTAGTTTTAAAGGATCATTGACATTGTTAAAAGGTAAAAATTTCATGTCATTTATTATTTATTTGAGTCCAAATACCTTATTTCTAAAAAAAAAAAAAAAAAAAAAAAAATTCTTAATGAATCAAAACTCAGAATTGATATTGCAGGAAAAAAAAGTTAAATAATTAAATGCTAACTGGGGATAGAAAAAAATCAAGTTTATTTTAAAATACTTCAACAACATTGTTAAGATTAGAAAACTGAGTCTCAGCAAAGAGCTTTGCCAAAAGCCGAGCTCTGACTTGGTGAGCAGGGCTGGCGGGCCGCCACGGGGCACTGTCCTCACGGAGGACAGCTGAGTGCTCCCACTGGGGCTCCACTCACACCACAAAGGTAGTGAGATGAGGCAGGTTGGATTTTTTGGCCCAGATCAAATGTGCTGAAACACAAGTTTAAAAGCAAACCACTCTTGTAAGGCGTTCTAGAACCCAGCACCTGGGTGAGATGTAACACAAGCCGGTGCAAGAATCTGTGCCATTCGAAAGGCCCACAACAGCCCTGCCCCACTGCGGGGCGAGGCACCTGATCCAGACTGAAACAATGCGGGCCTGGCAAACGCACGCAGCCAGGCCGCCGAGCCTGCTCAGAGACACACACAAATCTACTGCTTAGCGTGGAACACTTAGTGGCCATAATTCAAAAACAAAATAAAGACACCACTTGAGAAACATGAGATGTTAAAACCACAAGCAAGATTAACTTGTATGTGACGAGATTCGTACTTGAGGAATCAAAAAAAATATGTAGCATCCATGATCACTTCTAGCAGAATGCTTTTTTGTCCCCTCCCAAATGTGAATCTGAGAACATTCACTGAGTTTTTACTCATCAAGCTACACGAGTCTCCTGGAAAACTTCTAGTTTAGAATCAAGTGCTCATTTGATTTTCAAGCAAGACCAAGGAAGCAGGCAGTCTCCTGCTGACATCACAGGGATGTGCCCACGCTCCGCAGTTACAGCAACGTGGCATGTTGCTATGGCGCCTGACAATTAATTTCTGAAAGAAGGTGATTGTGAAGCCGCCAGATGAACATCAATTTGATGACACCACTTCAGCTCAGAACACTGAAACGCGTTACTCTTATTAGCAGCAAGTTCATTTTATGAAATCACCACTTTTGTGATGTGAATATGCCTAACTTTAATCTAATTCAGCACTCTTTCATCCCCCCAAAAAAGCTCAGTTTCAACAAAGGGGAAAGTTTGCTATTTGGAGGACAAATATGACTCTGTGGACCATTTCTTAAGGGATCTTTTCTTTAACGACCTCCCAAAATATGCCACATACATACTTACACACAAATAAAACATATCTACTTGATAAATATGTAGGTCAGAAGAGAACTGAATTAAGATGCTTAAAAGGTGACAGCTACCACCCTGCACATTGCCCCACTAATCGTATCTGCATTTACCTTTTGTGGCTTCTGTGAAGCAATCTTCAGTTACAGTCACCTCCAAAGGTCACTGCTTACCCTGAAAACAAAAGAGAACATCAAAATCTGAATGTCAAGAGAAAGCAGCAACCACCTCTCTTGCCTGGAAGATTCAAGAGAAACAACAAAGGGACTGGGTTATGTTCAGTGGCAGATGACTTTCAGTTACTAAAAACAAGTCACGAGACCTCGCTTATCTGGACCACATGCCTCTGAGCTCTTCAAGACAAGACAGCTCCCATGGAAAAGTCGAGGTGAAACGTTTCACATTTTGCTTGTGAACTTTTTCTTGTCTTGCTGTTAATTTATTTTCACGTGGAATAATGCATGACTCACGGGTCTTTGTTTGGAAACCAGACTGCTATCGGAGCGTGTCTGTTCGGTTACCATCCACAACCTAGAGTGCGCTGCCGCGTAGGCTTCTCACTCCCCCAGAAGAGAGTTCTCACAGACAAGCTGTGTGGCCACCAGGGCCTTTCAGGAGGACGCGAGCACCGCAGTTCCAGGATGGGGAGTGACGGGGCTCACAGCAGTGAAAGCTGCTCTCAGAATATTTTCCACTTAGCATATAGCTGCCAGATTAACTAAGTCACATAAAAGCGGTTCGTGTCAGGTGAACTAAGCAATTGAAATCAAGTTTCCTAAAATGCAAAGAAAGGATGAACACATCCTCCCGCAGCCACTCCTGCACGGCATACTCCCTTCCGCAAGAAGTGTGGCCCTTTATGAACTGCCACAGGCCCGCGGAGCTGGGATCAGCATATGGCACAAGTGAAAAGAAAACATCGTTTATTAATTTAGGTCAAGTTAGCATCAGGGAACAGGACTCATTCCACATCGATAGACCAAATGCCAGCCTAACTTTTAAGATGGAGAAATTGTACCCTCATGTTACTGAAACGTCAGTGTCCTTTTGCTCCCTCTCAGCACAATGTGGAACGGCGTGCTTTAGAGTTCACGCAGGGCGTCTCCGCACAGCCGCCGCAGTCCTAACGGGGAGAGGCAGCCCGCTGAGTGCCGCTGGCTGCCCTGTGGCAGAGACCTGTGAGGGCACCCGGGGCGCTCCCTTTGAGGAACTGATACACGGCCAATTTATGACATTTCCACCGGCAAGTGTATGCAGATGCTTGCCATTAAGATTGGAAAGAAATGCAGGCTCTGAGTGAAATCATAATTTTCTTGTTTACTCTAAGAGGAAATTGGAGGTTTTCACCATAAATGTTCACCATTTGGGTGGGGGAAAACCCTAGCTCTGGGACTTAAAATTACAATTTTGCAACCTGCCCAAAACCTTTTTGTTTTTACACAAAACAATTCAAATAGAAAATGACAGTCTGCACTTTCCTGCTGGTGTTTGTGCCAGGATAGGTTTCTGCAGGGGTGGGAACCCTGGCTGAGCAAACGGTGCTCAGGAAACAGCAACGACAGTGTGGCCTAGGACGCAGAGCAGCGGTCACACGCACATCAGAGGAGCTCTCGGACCCCAGGCCACTGACGGAGGCCCCGCTCCTCCCTCTCCCGTCTCAGTGGGAAGTGAGGGAGCCCTGGCAAGCCTCCTGAGTCCCGGGCGAGCCCGTGACCCTCCTCTCCTTTGAAATGTGCACTAGTGAATGTACGCTAAGCTGTTTGCCACGTTTACCTCCTGGGCTTCATCCCTTCCTGCGGGCAGTCAGACCGACAGTAGCAGCCGTAGCCATGCAGGTGAGATTGCTGTCCCACAGGCCTGGCAAACTACCGGGCCTTGTGAAACTTCTATTTAAAAAATACTGCTGAAAACGCCTACTTTGAACAAAGTTATCCCCTACGCTGTGTTCACACCTGCAGAGCATCCTCAGGTTAACCCTGGCCCCACACCTCTCTGCTCAGCACAGTGTCCTCCGTAAGGGATGGGGGAAATCGAGGCTGGCCCACTCCAGAAATTACACAAAGCATTCCCTGGCGGGTGCGGGCTCAGCATTATCCATCAGGTCCTCTAACTGGAATTACTACAGCAATACAGAACCGGTTACTTTTAATTGAACCTATACATGAAACAGGCGTGGTATTCAAGCCATCTTTTCCTCTTCTTGAAGTTACAAAAATTTTAATGCATATGCATATTTGACTGCTCATTAATTCATTTGTTGATTTTAGTTGTTAGTATATATGAACAAAGAATCTACCAGATATTTTCCTGGCTTTGCTGAGAAGAGAGGAGTAGCTCAGAGCTGTGGTACCGTGAGCAGCCTGTGTCAGTATCAGGACAGACAGGGCCCAGGCCTGGGCCTGGAAGGACCAGAATCTACAACCAGAGGAAAGTCTGTATTTCATCTTCCCAAAGCACCACACTCCTATTTCCAGAACTGTATCTGCTATTTTTTAGACAATAACTTTGCTTATCAAATCCATCAATTATTTATCTGAATGTATACTGGCAGCATGATGATATCTAAAACTCAAATGATTATGCGAAGCTTTTCGGTTAAAAAAAAAAGATACAAGAAAAATATTGTCCTCTAGCCCTCCTGCCTTCTTTAAAAAATGCAGTCGACATATGAATTGTATTTTCTTTCTTTACCTCCTTTTCTTAAGTTTTCCTGTTGGTTTTAGGTTGTAAACACGAGCCCGGAATATGGTTAATAAAAACTACTTACTTTCCTTTATGTTTTTCTCTACAGGTAAGGTCCTGTGTGTGCGGAACTGCTCCATGGCCTCTTCACTGTTGTCTGTTATAATGTTACTGACCTGAAACTATGGATGACCCAGGACCCTGACCTAGACATCAGTGCAGACCTATGACCCTGGTTAGGAAAGTTAAATGTGCCCTCCACCGTCCCAACCCCTCCCCAGTAGGAGCATGGCTCTGCATCAGTTCAACAGCACTGCAGTGCCACACTGCACATGGATGCACCGACGGCTAAGGCAATCTGTGCGAAAAAGTGTGCACAGTGCCAACAGCCACGGCCTACCTGGAGCCAGGATGCAGGTACATGTGGAGGTGTGATTTCATCTCACAAGATGGCAAGTGAACAATATATACTCTATTTTCCCACTAAAAGCATTCCTCCTTTTCTTTCACAGCAGCTCAAGGAATGATAGTTCCTGCACTAGCTTTCATTTTACACAACTGCATGAACGTGACTGAAGGATGGCCACCATATGTCATCTCAACCTTCAGCCCAACACACGTTGGCTGTGAGCTCCCATGTGCCCTGTCACTGGGGATGCAGTGGTCACAGCCAGCTGCGCCGGGGGAAGGCGGAGGCTAGGAGCCACTGTGGGGCTGAAGGACCCCTTCTCCTCCAGCCAGAAACAGGCTTCACACGTCCATACTGCCCAGTACTCCGATCAGATGGCATCCCTGCATTAGAGGAAACACGTCTACATGGCCCCCGCAGTCTCTTTGGTGAATCTTAACTCGTGAGCTTTTTTGTCTTGCTTATCAAAGATTTCTTAGAAAAACAGACGCGTGTCAACACAGATTTGCCTAGCTGAAAAGTGGCAATACAAGGGTCGTTTCATTGTAAGAAAATCCACTCAGAAATCAACCCCAAAGTGTTGTTTCTCTGCTTCAAAGAACTTCAAAAGTGGTTACATTCTGAGTCAGGTTTATAAACATAAAAAGGGAAAAGAAAGAGAAGGAAAAGATAAGTGAAGGAAGAAAAGAAAAAGGAGAAGAAACAGGGAGAGCAAAATAGTGGGGGGGCGGGGGAGAAAGAAGGAAGGAGACTGAAAAGCAAAGAAATGGCAAGGAGCCTGGTTGTTGCTCAATGGATAGAGCATCAGTCTGGGGTCTGAAGGGTCCCCGGCTCAATTCTGATCAAAGGACATGTCCAGATTGTGGGCTAGATCCTTTGTGGGGGGGCATGCAGGAGGCAGCGGATCAATGATTCTCTCTCATCTTTGATGTTTCTATCAATAGCTCTCTGTCTCTTCCTCTAAAATCTATAAAAATTTGTTTAAAAAAAAAAAGAAGAAGAAGAAGAATTGACAAGGAACCCTTTGCAGCTCAGGCCGCTGGGAGGGAGGGGGCTGGCTGGTTTACAGTTAGGACATGCCCCAGCCCTGCATTCTCACTGCCAAAGAGTTCTACCATCTAGAACTCCCCCGCCCCCCCCCAAATCCCCTCCCGCTGCAGCAAGGACATCTGACTTCCTTTCCCCTCGGCCTGGGGCTCACCTAGCTTCGGGTCCATCTACAGGGAGACCTGGGCTCCCGTCAGTGAGCCCGGAACAGGCTGCACAGGAGGTCAGGGCAGCCTCCCGCTGGCAGGCAAGTCCACATGGGCCACTCCGTTCAGAAAACCACTGGGAGAGAATGGAAACCCTGGGCATGGCCATGTGAAAATAGTTTATAGTATCCTTTCACAGCCTTTAAGTGTTGAAATCTAAAAACAATATTTGCTGCTTTCTCTTTGAAGCACTAACAAAGCCTTTGTTTTAAATTTACCTCTAGTGAGCAATAAGAGTTAATAATCAAATCCATCCCAACCCCCACAAACCTTAAACAAAAAGATAAAAGAAATGCAAATAGCTATTGTCATGGAAAGTTAAGTACCTGTCTGTATTTTTAAGTGAAAACTATTATCTCTATCAATCAAAATTTAAGAATACAATGGCGCTAATCACAGAAGGTGCACTGACAGTTACTTTTCCTCATAAAAAAGTATTTCCCTTCAAAGCTGAGTGTAAAAGTCACATACTTACAATTAGATGGGGTATTTGTAATTTTATTATTAAAAACCTTCAGCAGCCTCACTGTTAATAAACGTTTCTAAGTCTTTAAAGTGATTTGTACCCAAGAAGACCCAAGTCCCTACATATTGTAATCAGGTTGATAAAATTTTATTCGAATCCTTCAGTTCCCACCTACGGGGGAACAGCACACTCTTCTGTTGGAAAGAGTAACTCAGACCCCGGAGCTCCCTGCGCCCCGCACCACTCCTCACCCCGAAATGTCTTCACAGGGGACACTCCTCCCACTGCGGCCTGGCTTTCTCCTGGCCATTCATTTCCGAAAGCCTAACATTCTAAAGGAAGCAGAACCACCCTCACTCCTCAG